AGTTGAGATTATGTAAGCATTTGTATCATAGATTGAGCCATTGAGGAATAACCCCGACATGAAAATGTTGAGAAGGACCCTACTGTTGAAAGGATTACTATTGGAGTTGATTCTATATATATGTAACAGAAAATAGATGAAAAATACATTGTTGAGGAGACAGTGAATTTGGCCGAAGGATTTTGATGATTTTGGCATATTTCCAGTATAGATACATTTGAACTAATGGTGCGCAGCTACCTAAATAAGTTGTCTATTTGATTACGGATTCTTTTACGAGTGTGCTGAGGATTGAAAAATCTTGTCATACATGTGTACTTGGAGAAGAATCTGTGATGGAATTATGATTATCTTGAGGAATTAAATAATGGGTTACCAAAATGAGAAAGATAAGTAGAGACAAATGGAGGTTAGAGAAGGAAAAATTATTTGGCAGGTTACTTGGAGGTGTAGAAAATCGGAAGGTAAGGAGATAGAAAATGATTAGTTAAAGAGAGGAATGAAATTGAGGGCAATGAAATCATATATGGTAATGACAGTATAGCAACTAAGGGAAATGGTGGGAAAAAGAAGAAGAAGAATTGGTTAACCCAGGACTGAGGAAAGGGGAAGAGGAGTTTTGAGCTTGGTTCTCTTTCGCTCTTAAATTCTGTCATAAGTTAAGGAAATTTTGCGATTTCAAGAATCTGTTAATGTTTTACGTGTACATATATTTGTGAAATCGAAAATGATAAGGGGAAGAGACGATAAATTGATATAATGGAGAAACAAGGTAGAGTTACAGTGAGGAAGAATTTAATTTTGGTACTAAGTGGGGTTCCTTCATCTTCAATGTTAATCCAATATTCAATTTTTAAAGTATTATATAGGCAGGCTTTTATGTATAGTGAATAGAGAAGGAAAAAAATGAATCCACTTAGTATAATGAATTAAGGGAGTTCTGATTAATGGATATGGACAATTGTAATTGACGGGTATGTGCAAGAGGAAGAAGAATAAGAATTAGAATAATAATAATAATAGTAATAGTAATAGTAGTAGTAGTAGCGGCAGCGGTAGCAGGTAGAGGCTTTAGCAGCAGCAGTAGTAGGAGCAGCAGCAGTAGTAGTAGGAGTAGCAGTTGCAGCAGCAGCAGTAGTAGTAGTTGGGACTCATCCTTAAGTTTCTTGTTTCATCTTCCAATTACAGTAATTATTTTCGATTAGAAAGTGATTGCAATTGAATATGAATTATCCTTAATAAAAGATAACGTGAAAGGAGAAATGGAATAGAAAATGGAAACACATACCGGTTCTCTGCATCAGTGGACTGGAATAGGAAATAGAAAAGAATGAGCAATAGATGAAGTTATGAAATTTGTCATTCATTTTTCAGTTAGTGAATACTAAAAGCTAGGATAATCAATAAATGTGGACCTTGATTAGACGTGATGGTATTTTTAGTTTTTGTTGTCGCAGAACAGATTGTAGAAACTTATAAGTAGGATATAGGATCATCTTATGCTAACACGGAATGAAGTCTAGTGGTGAGAAACAAGGTAATCAAGATTATCAATATTGACGAGGAAGCAAAGATAGTTTCTTGATGTTAGTTGTTGTTTTGTTTTGTTTTGTTTGAGCAAAGCCAAAGAAACTGAAATAGAGAAGTTGTTGTGCCCAAGCTTCTTATTTCGTTTTCTGTTACAGTAAGGTAAGAAATTTAGGATTTGAGCAAGACATATATATTTTCTACTTATATGAATGTGCAGTGCTTGCAAGTATTAAATATACAAGGAAAAAATGATGACAAAGGAAAATAATTAGGAGTTGAAGGCAGTAGTGGTAAGTTGTATGTTACTGGAGAAGTTAGATTAGTATATGCATATGTATATGTGAGATAGTGAAAGTAATGGAATAGAAGAAAGAGGAGCAGGACCATATGCCTTGGCTATGTTCCCTTGTTTGTCGGAGGCTACTAAGGGATTTCGAATATTAATAGGTGGATGGAAATAATCTAAAGGGCACTGACAAAGGATATGTGAAGAGGAGAAGGGAAATTACAAGTTCAAGAGTTTGGTTGTTTACATGTATATATATTTATAAAACAAAATTTAAAAAAAAAAAAGAAAAAAGAAAAAAAAAGATGGTAAATAGATGAAATGGAGAAAAAGCCCTTAAATTAATTAAAGAAGAGAGGGGGAAGGGATAGGAAATGGGTTCATGTGATAGCTGTGAATATTATTTTGCTTTTGGGCAGACACATGTAAAATTCAATTTCTGGAGAAAGCATTAACACTTCTAGTTAGAATTAGGATTAGCATGAGTGCTTTCTTGGTTCGCTGTTCTGTTCTCTGAGGATTTACTATTCTGCGATTTTTTTCCAATTTCCTGCTGAGGCGAAATTTAGCATCATGCGCTAATTTTTCTCGATTTTCCTTTTATTGCCAATTCGTTTTTGGCTTCTCATATTTTGCACGCAGATACACATTTTCTGCCTCCAACGTCTTTAGTTTTTTGACATTTTATGAATTGTTTTGCAGTCGGCACTCCTTTCCCTTGAAGATGGCATTAGACGAGGTAAACTTCGACTAGTAACCTTGTCGGTATTCCCTACCACTCTCTCTTTAACTTTATATCACTTTTGGCCGAATTGTTGCTGGATTCCTCTATTCCGACTTTTAGTGCTTTGAGTATCCCTAGATCTGCTTCCACTCCATTCATTCTTCCAGATCCTTAAGGTTTCTAAACTTTAGTGGGCAAATTTGTGGTTTACTTTGCTCAGTTTACACTGACAATGCCAATTTGTTGATGGTAAAAATCGGATCAAATGATTTTATTGATGAAAAATTACAATCAAAGATTGAATGTAATACAATCCAGGAAAGAAAGATAATTAGAAATAGGATTAGCATGGTAGTTCCAGAGTGCATCCGTATGTAAATTCAGTAAGCAGATTGGCCTTAATGAAATCATGGAATGGATTAGTTCAATCACTCCTAGTTAGCCTTGCTAGCTTGCTTGTTTAGCATTCCTGATGGACTAGCCAATTAAACTTGGAGGACCAAATTCTTAAGGGGGTGAATTTATAATATCCTAGTTCCTTTAGTCAAGTCAAAAGTCAAGTTGTAATTGTAATACTTTGGTCAACCATTATCTGTTGGTCAAATATGTCAAGCACCAAAATGAAAAAAAAAAATTAATAATAATAAATAAATAAATTTGAATTAGGACCACCTTTAAACATTTGTATGAAGCCAAATTTTTGTCAGTACAAATCCATTACCTACAATTTATAGAACTAAGAGAAAATAAGAGGAAAGAAGAAAAATCAGAAAATTGAAAAGAAGAAGAATAGCTTTAAAATCATGGACTCATTTATTCTTGTGCTTGAAGTTGATTCCTGTTTTGGCTACAAAAATGAGGTAAGAAATGAAATTGCAAATTTCAAGAATATGCAATATTTATGAGTTTGGTGTCTTAATTTCTGTCAAAAATTTAAATGGGACAAAGTTATTAAGGTGATGAAGGACTTCAAATTAAGTGAAGAGAAAGGAGTGAAAAGGTTGTGTGTGTGTGTGTGTGTGAATTGCAAAGATTAAGTTAGAAATTGGGAAGTTAAGTGCTAACATATAAGGGAAGTGTATGGATACTTTTAAAAGAAAAAAATCATGGTGGGGGAGTAGGTTGTGTTATAGTTAGAAAATTTATTTATCCATGGTTGAAAAGGGACTTATTTGGGATATACTCATGTTTCAGGAAATGACGAGAAGATCTCAGAATAGTTTATCAATCAAGTTAAACTCCCTTACATGGTTCTGTGAGTGGAAAAAAATTATATATTTTCAAATATTAATAAGGTACTTATTCTATTATATTACGTGCGATTATGTGAATTATTTGTTCGATTACATGATTAATATGGAAAGGTTCTTTCACTATGATATACGTGGAATTTAAAGTTTTTGATATGGATTATTTGTGAATCGGACTACGAGACAAATGTGATATTGAGATCGACCAGAAGAATATCCATGATTATATATTTCTTTTAGTTCACTGAGGGACCTTAACCGTGTTCTATACTACATTGAGGGATCTTGGACCGTGGATGAAGGGGTCTTGATCGTGTACATATAGTTCACTGAAGGGCCTTAGCCATGTTCTAAAATTGATTATCAGATGTCTTAAGACAAACTTTCGTTCACGGAGGGAGCCAAAGGCTTGTGATGAAAGTTCTTAACCTGAGGGGCGGATTACAAATTTCAGTCCGAGGGTACATTTTTGATGAATTTTCTAGTACATTTGATGTGATGAGATTATAATATAATTGCCAACTTATGTTCATATCATGACTTGAGATGATATTTCATGATGTTATGTGAATGTCTCAAATTTTAGCTATAATTATATATTGTTATCTTGTGAATTATTAAATGATATGAACTCGATTTCGATAAAATGTATAAACGAAAAAGTATAATTATTTTCAAAAACCTCCACTCACTGAGCTATCAACTCATGTATTCTTTCACGATTATTTTTTCTAGGTAGCAATTGAGTTTTGGCAACTTGAAGAGACTGTTGATTTTAGAGCCACAACCATGACAGTCTAGGTTATTGTGCCATTTGAATTGGGCATGAAAATATCACTTTGGGCTAACATTCTTTTGACATATAATAGGTCTTTTTTTTTTTTTTTTTTTTTTTTTTTTTTTTTTTTTTTTTTTTTTTTTTTTTTTTTTTTTTTTTTAAAGAATGATTGGTAAAAGGTCAAAGATAGCCTTGTTGGTGGGTTCGGCATCTAGCTAGAATCAATCATCGGCGCACGTCACATTTCAGATCCACTAAAGTGATTCAGGATGGGTCGTGTTAGTTGTGCATATACTCAAAACTTGTGACTGACTTCAAATTGCTAATTAGAGATTGTTAAGATCAATTGGATGCGATAAGAAGCCGAAATGAATGAAATATAATCAAAGGATCTTTACAAATTAATTTCCAACCTTAAAAGGCATATTGTAGATTTTCAAGTGGCTAGTGGGGGTGTGATAAGTGACATCTCGGATGACGTGTTCAGGGATTTCAAAAATTTTATGGGGGTTTCTCTGTTTTGGAAGCTGAGACAAAAAGCTCTTGCCACAGGCCTTAAAATCCGTAATCAACAGGGATATTCTAGAACTTGGGCAGAGGTGGATTGAAGATTGCTTACATATTAATCCAAGAAACAGAAAAATGGATGTAAAAGTTACTTGCATATGGAGGGAAGACAACATTGTTCTTGACTAGATTGCAGGCCTTTAGACAAGGCTTTTCAAAAATTAAAAACTGCTTTTAAAATCAAGAAACTGCTTTTGAACTTGTTTGGATTTTTTTTTTTTTTTTAAATGCTTTATTAAACTAGAAGATATTTTAGAGAAAACTGACACGAAGTGTTTTTACTAGAGTATACTTTAATCTGGCCAAACAGGCACTGCAAAGGTTGGTTATAAAGAAAAGTGCTTTAAAATGATGTAAGCAATTGCATTTGAAGGATTGGAGAGAGGGCACATCAAATTTAATAAACAGGGGTTGAAATTATTGGAAAAATAATATATTAAATTAATATATTAAAGCAATGTATTAAAGTTAATATATTAAAACAATTTATTCAAATTGAATGAAATTGTAACAACAATTCATAGGTTTCAAGTCTAGTCAATTTTATATTAAATTGTATTCGAATTTGTTCAATTCCATATTCATTTTGTGGTTACAGATTCATTCATGGCTATTGTGACATTATTTGTGTTAAATAAAAAATTAATTAAGAATTTGAAACATTCATCATCCTACTACTATATAAGGAAGTATTCTTCACTTTACGCACCAAAAATTTGAGAGTTCTTTCTTCGCTTTAAGTTTCTCTCTTATCTTTATTTGAAGAGTTGAATTCTTTCTAACTTGGTGATAAAATTGTGAGCATTTTTAGTTCATTTAAAATAGTGACAAGATGCTAGTTAGCTACTTTCAACTGTTATATTTTGAGAGACCGATGTCATCAATCCTCTTGCACCATAGGCTTCAATTCCTTTCAATATCGCTACTACCTTAACAACCATTTCCTATAATTTTATTGTTACTCTATTTATTGTATTGTTTCCTTCTATTATTCTATTTATATAATTCCAGCAGTATGTCTGATTTTCCTTTTGTATTTTCCTAACAGACATTGATACAATGGCAAATCACATGTAAAGATCTAGTACAAGATGATATATGGCCTCTGGTCATATTTATAGTATGTATTTGTTAGTTTTATTTGTCTTATCATTGTATGCTTTGACATTGTAAAAAAGATATGTTGTTTAGAGTAATTTATCATTCCATTACTCCCTGAAAGATGTAATAGTGGAGGTGAGGTAAGATGAAGTTTCCCTCCTTGTGTACACTTCTATTAGAGATTGGAGATTGGGGAATCAGACCCCATGAAGGTTTAGACTGATAACCTACTAATGTCTAAGCTGGATTAGCCTACCTAAATATTGATAAGTTTAGAAAACTCTTAATACATGAAGTTTTATTTAAACACATCATGTCTGAACCTTACAACCTTAGACCTAATAAAAGAAAGCAAAGGCAACATAAGATGTTAAAAGGGTATCCACTCCAAAAAACAAGAAGATGATCTTTTTGGGAGGGAATTTGATCAAATGCAAATTGATCATCGTTGGACCCTCCATGCTAGATTCTTTGCAAGAATTCACTAAGGATAGTGTAGTCCCACACAGATAGATTATAATAATAATGATTTTTAGAGAAGAACTCATTTTGTTCTGAGGAAACATGGAGTTTTTTATTATTGACAGCAAATCTGGTTGCAATGGATCCTTGGAAAGGCCTGCTTTGAAACAAATTAAGGTGATAACATGAATTCACCATTTGTGCATCATGTTGACCTCGAAAATGAGATTAACAAATTCCTCTCACTTAGCTAGAATTTTCTCGTCCTAAACTCACTGGATTTATGATAAGCAGGAAGAAGAAGACAAAATGCTATTTGAAAGGAGGATATTTTGATATTGCATTCATTTCTTTGTCCGAACTATGTCTATTTATAGATTTCTAATGATGTTTAAGAATAATCAAGTCCTTTTTGCTAATGACACATGGCAGTTATTGATTAGTTGACTTGTAACTGAATTTGCTCGCTTTTCACATTTTATTCACGAGTCCACATGTTCCTCATCAATTGGCTATGAAATCACACTTCATATTCTTAGTCATTTGTGATTCGATAATAATTTGTGCTGATGTAGAATAGCTGGTAAAACTAGTTAAAAGTATATTTGCTTGCTTATGTTATATTGAGTTTGGACGTGATTTGGTTGGCCTTGAAAATATTCACTAGCAGAGATATAGGTTCTTTGCTAATCCTTTGTAAATTTTAATTGACAATAAATGTCCTCGATGTCGGAGTCTAACAGTTTATGTTAAGTTTAAGACTATTTACTTTCTACGTTATGTGAACCTACAAATAATTTGATTATTTTTGAATTTATTTTGGTGCATGAGCCTTTAATTATTGTGAGAAAAGAGCCTTGAACATCACTTGTTTTGTATAGTATAACTGATTTCGATTTTTGAGTGAAAACAAGGTTGGATGATTAACAAATAGTCCTTGAACTATGTGGACTGTGGTCATTTAATGTGCGTGTTATTTACACATGATTAGATCCGTCCCTTTGAAATATTTTTAGGCACCTTTTTTATATCCAATGGCTTTTTCACTTGAAGATTAAGATCAAACTTGACATGATCCAAAGGCTAGTATCTTTCATCATAAACCTAAATATAACACCTCTATTATTTGTTACAATTATTTATTCTTTCAAAGCTTCTATCTTCATTATTTATTCGCAGCTATTACGTAGCACACAGTATAGTGTTGCTTGCAATTTTTCTTTGCTCCTTAAAAATCCTTCGAATCATTTCTTGTGGATGTATTTGTGTACTGTTGCTTCTTTTCTTGTGCTATTCTTCCTTTATTCATCGTTTACTGCCCGATAAACTTTTAGCTAAAAATTTTTAGGAAATTGATTCTAGAAAATGCCTTCCCAAAATAGATCTACAAGCATCGAAGCTACACCATCTAGATTTAGGGAAGATGGAGTTGATTCGTCATCGTCATCCTTAGTAAATGTATTATACTCTGATGTCATTCCTCGAGTGGCAATCAAAAAAATTAGTGCATGTGTAAAACTGTGAACCTTTAGGCAAGGAGAAGGATTATACCATAGGAACAAGCCAACAGGGGAGAAGAAGATATTGTTAATGAAGATTTGAAGATATTTTCTAATATTACTGAGAAAAGGACTTGGCTAAGATTAGAAAAAATTCAATATTCCTGAATATATGAAGCTATTATGTCTGAAACAATTTTAGAATGTAGATAGGACTTTGAATTCGTTTTCATCATATCTTCCCTAAGGTTCTTAGCTCTTCTAAACTTACTCCCACCCTACTTACTCTTAATGGGTGGCTCATATGGTTGACTCTTTCCTGTTGTGGACCATTACAAGGTTAGTAGTGATGTGAACCCTGTAGTATCGTTGACTACGAAATCCACAACTAAATTGTTCCAAAATCCCAAAAAGCCCAAATAAAAGGTTTGGAGATTGAACTTTAAATTACTGAACCAAAAAAAATCCAGCAAGAATGTTGGGTCCTTGATTACACAATTCAAGACCCACACCCGATTTGTAGAACACCACAAAAATAGTCTTGATAAGTTCAATGTGTTCAATTAAGAACAAAAAATTGAAAGCAAAATTGCCTTTCGTATTAAATCTCAAATAATGTCTCGTAAAAATAATAATGAAGAATTGAACTTCTATTTATACTAGATCCTAGAATAGAAGTCGAAAAAGAATAAAATTCTAATAATCTAGTAGAATCTGAAAAATATTCGTCCAACATTTCTAGAATTTGACTAAAAATAAAACTCTAATAAAATATGGAAAAAATGCAAAAAAGGAAAAATTCTGCTCCATTTAACACTATGCGACCGCATGGTGTAAACTTATGCGGTCGCATAGTTCAATTGATCTATGTCCATATAGTCCCTGCCTCTATGCATGCGGTCGCATGCCTATTATAGCTATGCGACCTCATAGCTATCACTTTTGCCCCCGACTTTGTCTGCTTCTATTGAATTGCTCCACTTTGATTCGACTCTCAACCCGAACATGAAAGTTGTCTCATTTTGCGTCTCGAACATCGTCCCATCAATGGTTTCCTGAACGAGCAATTTCATCGCTTGTTTCACTTACTTTTCTTTTGATCATGTCATCAGTCCACCTTCGATTATCAACAGGTCTCATCTCGCACTGGGCTATTGGATCACATCATCCCCTCTCTCTTCAAAATGATTCGTCATCGAATCTACACCTGCATTGAAAAGGGAAAGATCAACAATGCTAAACGAAGCCGATACATTATACTCACCTGGCAAGTCCACTTTGTAGGCATTATCATTGATCTTCTCGGTGATTTGGAAAGGACCATCTCTCCGTAGTTGCAATTTGGACTTTCGCTGCTTCGAAAAATGTTCCTTCTTGAAATGCACCCACACCTAATCTCCGGGTTCAAATGTCACACGCTACCGCCCTTTGTTTACCTTTGATGCAATGAGCTTGCTCTTCTCTTTAATTTGCGTACGGACCTTCTCATGAAGTGCCTTCACCATCTCAGCTTTCCTCTTACCGTCCATGCTACCTCGTTCATTCACAAGCAAATGAAATAAATCCAATGAAGTTAGTGGATTAAATCCATACACAATTTCAAATGGTGAATAAGAAGTAGTCGAATATACAACACGATTATAAGCAAACTCAATAAATGGCAAACAATCTTCCCAATTTCTTAAGTTCTTATTAATCACTCTTTGAAGCAATTAAGTCATGGTCCTATTTACTATTTCAGTTTGACCATCTGTTTGTGGATGACAAGTTGTAGAAAATAACAATTTAGTTCCTCTTATTCCACAAAACATGCCAAAAATGACTAAAAAATTTAATATCTCGGTCCGACACAATACTCTTAGGGACTCCATGCAAACGTATTATCTCCCTAAAGAATAAATCAGCAATATTAGTGGCGTCATCGATTTTATTACATGATATGAAGTGTGCCATTTTACTAACCTATCAACTACTACTAA